TTTATTGTGACAACCGAAACAACTTTTTCTGTCATCATGGAAATTACTACACCCATTATTGAAATTATAAATATAACTACTGAAACGGCAGAAACTATTACTACTGAAACTACAGAAACCACTGAATCTGTAATTATAACAACTAAAACAACGGAAACTACATTCCATGTTATTGAAGTTACGAATATAACCATAGAAACTCCATTTATTACGACAGAAACAACGGAGACTACAACGAAGTATCCAATTGTTACGATAGAAACTACTCCATTTATTGTGATAAATGAAACAACAGAAACTACATTACATATTATTGAAGTTACGAATATAACTATAGAAACTCCATTTATTACCACAGAAACAATAGAGACTACAACAAAGTATCCAATTGTTACGATAGAAATTACTCCATTTATTGTGACAACTGAAACAACTACATTACATATTATTGAAGTTACGAATATAACTATAGAAACTCCAACACCTACAGAAACGCCAGAAACTACAATTGAATATCCAACAGTTCTCATAACAACTGAAACAACTTCTTCTGTTTTAGTAGAAATAACTACACCTATTATAGAACTTATAAATGTGACTACCATAACTCCATACATTACTACTAAAACCATAGAAACCACTACTGAATTAATAGTTACTACTGTAGAATATCCTATTATAATTACTACACCAACGATAATGCCTTGGGAAATTACCACTCCTTATCCTGTAATCGAAACAGTTACCACAACTGTCACTCCAGAAACCACAACTGAAATAACTGAAGTAACAGAATATGAAGAATATGAAGAATATGAAGAAGAAGAAACAGTCAGTCCAGATTGGGAAGAATATGTGGAGGAAACAACAGAAACTACAACAAAATATCCAATTGTTACTATAGAAACTACTACATTTATTGTAACAACTAAAACAACAGAAACTACAACGAAATATCCTGTTGTTACTATAGAAACTACTGAATCTATAATCACGACACCGACACCACCAATCGAGACTACCACGAAAGAAGTTATTAAAGTAGAAGTAACAATACCTAAAATAGATGTTAACATAACTACTCCTTTCATACCGATTCCTGAAATCGTTTCTACTTCACCATTATTTACAACATTCACATATACTTTAGCACCTACTTTGGAATTTACTACGGAATCTTTGCCTTTCGAATATGAAGATAATATTACTGATATAACTTTTACTCCTTTTATACCTCCACCTACTACAAAACCGATTATAATTACTCCTTTAATTATAACTCCGATTATAACATTAACTACTCCGATTATAACATTAACTACTCCGACTATAATGTTAGTTACTCCAATTATAACGTTAACTACTCCGACTATAACGTTAACTACTCCGACTATAACGTTAACTACTCCGACTATAACGTTAACCACTCCGACTATAACGTTAACTACTCCAACTATAACATTAACTACTCCGACTATAACATTAACTACTCCGACTATAACATTAACTACTCCGACTATAACGTTAACTACTCCGATTATAACATTAACTACTTCGACTATAATTACTCCAGAGAAAATCATTCCCAAAATCACTCCCGTACCAGCCATAGTCGAATTTACACCCATCACAGATGACAGTCAAAAGCATACCCGCAATCTTGAATTGATGGAACAATTGGAAAGAAAACTGAAGGAAATGGATGAGAAGATGAAAGATATTGAAAGAAAAGAGATAGAATTAGATAAAGAAGAAGAAGAATGGCAGAATCGTAAAGCGAAAATAATAAGCGATCTATTACAAAGACAAAAAATGATGAAGGCTTATGTTGCCACTAAAGCAATAGAAGCTTTACACGAAATAACACAAACGACTATCGGTGAGCATGCGATAGATATTGATACGACAAGACCTAAAATGAAAATGATAACTCTTTCTCCCTTCTTGACGACCGATGCATTTGAGAAAAGGCTTAGAATGTTAGAGATAGAGTTTTGGGAGAGAGAAAAATGGATAAAGGAGCTAGAGAGGAGATTACTGGAAAGAGAAAAGAGATTCAAGAAAGATCAGGAAGATTTTGAAAAATTAGTGAGAGAAATGGAAGAAACGTTGAAGAAAGGAAAAGAAATATCATGGCCCCCTAAGACTTCTGAACCAACAGAAACAATACGAGATTGTTGTTTGCGTACGACGCCACTTTTCTCGCCACTTCCACCTACGGAAAGGACAACGATTGATATTCGAGAACCAACTATTACACCTAAAAAAGACACTACTATAAGAACTACTATCACTGAGGAAGAGAAAGAAATAGAGAAAGAAACAGTGACCAAAGAAACAGTAACTGAAGAAACAGTAGAAAGATTGACACCGAAAAGATTTGTGACAACGAAGAAGTGTGTTTTAAGATCAAAAGTTGTTGGTAAAGACATGGTGACCGAACGAGTTTGCGTACCATACATTTTAAGTAAGGAAGAAGAGGGGAAAACGAAAATTGCCACGTTGCATCTTGAAGAACATGAATGGACAGAAGGCCCATTTGTAACGGATTATATGACACCGCAGACAGAAACTGAGGAATACGAGAATGAAAATAAAGAATCGATCGAACAGAATCGAATTAAGCGAAATATTGGCAAGGAAAATGCTGTTTGCCCCAATTATCAACTATACAATTTTACCAATTGTTATAAAATAACGACGAGACGAATACGATACATTCGAAGTAAGAAAGATGGAAACACAAAAATTGTCGTATTGCATCTTGAAGAGCACGAATGGACTGAAGGTCCATTTACAACAAATTATATGACACCGCAAACAGAAATCGAAGAAGTTGATCGTGAAGAAATAATGGAGCGCGAACGATTTAAGCCAGATATAGACGAGAAAAAAACTGTTTGTCCTGATTATCCATTGTACAAAATTACTGACGATAAGATGAAGACAACCCAAACACCAAGTAAAGACGAAGAAGAAAAAACAAAACTTTTTGCATTGCGTCTTAAGGAGCATGAGTGGATGGAAGGTCCGTTTACAACGGATTATGTGACACCGCAGACGGAAATCGAAGAGAACAAGAATGAAAATAAAAGATCGATCGAGCGGAATCGATTTAAGCAAAACATTAATGAACAAAATGCTGTTTGCCCTAATTATCAATTGTATAATGTTACCGGTTATAAAATGACGACAAATCATTTATTAATTGACGAATCATTTTGTAAATATGCAAATTGTAATTTTCAGTTAACAAAGAGTTTAACGATCACTGAAGCATCGAGAATCAAATCTACGGGAAAAATGAATTGGAAAATTGATAATAATAGGTATAAAGTTCGATCGATGTTGCAAATTATTGAAGATGAAGAAGTAGAAAATGATAATGAGACAATAATGAAACAAAATGAATGGAATAATGGAATTTATGATTATGAGAATCAAATTGAAAGAAATCTAAGGCAAGAAGAGGTTACAGAACCATGGGAAAATCAAGATAATGATGAATATGAAAGCAAAGAAAATGATGAATATAAAGAAGAAGAAGAAGAAGGAGAAGAAGAATATAAAGAAGAAGAAGAAGGAGAAGAAGAATATAAAGAAGAAGAAGAAGAAGAAGAAGAATATAAAGAAAAAGAAGAAGAAGAAGAAGAAGAAGAATATAAAGAAGAGGAAGAAGAAGAAGAAGAAAAAGAAGAAGAAGAAGAATATAAAGAAGATTATGAACCTGAGGATAAAGAGGATGAAAAAATAGAAGAAACTACGGTACCAAAAGAAGAAGTAATTGAAACACCAATGATATATACACCAGAGGAAGAAAAACCAAAACCCAAGAAAATTCACGAAGATGAAGAAGAAGAAGAAACAACTGAAGGTAGAATATTAAATATTATTTAATTTTTATTTTTAAAATATTATTATTAAAATATTAGAAATATAAAAATTATAATAATATATAATATTGTTAATGTTAATAATATTAATAATAGAATTAATTACATTAATATATTTACATTTCAATCATTACATAGATAAATTTTAAATAAATTTTAAGAATTATTTTAAAAAATTGATTAATTTTTTATCAAAAAAGAAGAATTTTTGATCATATTCTACTTTTTAATTTTCACGATTTAATTATCACGATAATATCATTAGATATTAGATATGCAAAAAATTAATTATATCAATAAAAATATATCAAGACAAAGTTAGATTAAAAAAAATTATTTAATTTTTTATAGAAGAAAAAACCAGACAACCACCTGGACCAGAATGGCCAACAGAACCTTTAACCAATTATCATGTGGGTGGTACTAGGACTTGGACGTTAGAATATCCAGAAGAGAAGCCACGCAAGCCAGAAGATGAAGAAGAAGAGGATTTTAAAAGGGTCGGCAAACGGCCGGAAAAAACAACTTGTTACTATGTTGTTCTTACTAAAGATAAGAAAAGACGTGAAAGTTCTGAGAGAGATTACGACAAGGAAAATGATTTTGAATCATTCTTGAAGAAAAATATTCCAAAGACAAATAAAGAATATGCCAGATATAGATAAATGCAAATGAAAGAAGAATATATAAGTTTCGTTAGGAAAGTAGCTCTATTGTTATAGAAAGATGAAGCAGTTTCCTTTCTTTTAAACTAATTTTTTTTTCGATAAAATACACGTAAGATTTATCAAAAACAGAAGAAACGTAAATCACAGTAAAATTAGGCACAGTAATGTTAAAATATTGTAAAGTTTGTACATATGTATATATATATATGTATGTAAAAGGGTACATTAATAAATTCGATTAGAAATTTCATTTTAAACCGACAGTCGTTTCAATTTGTTGATTATACAGCTTGAAATGTTATTGCTGCTGTATAATATCAGAGATTAATTTCATGAAAAATTAAATGCTGCTTGCGGCTATTTTAATTAGAAATTTAGAATGGTTTCTAAATATTATTTATTTTAATATCCATGAACACCGGATTGCTTTTAGATTCATTAACATGTATTCTTTTTTAACAATTATTAAATATTTATTTATTTAATATAGATAAGAGAAATTATATTTTTTGCATATATTATGAATATATTAAGATTATATTAGAATGATATAAATATTTAATACTTTACGTATGATAGTAATAATTCAGTAGTAATAATTCAATTCATAGTAATAATATATAATAATAGATATAATAATAGAATTAATAAATGATAAAATATAATACAGTGAAAGAATGATAAAAGTAATTATATTAATTTTATATTTTATTATTATTTTTCAATGAAAATATTATAAATTATCTTTAGTTTATCCATTTTCAAATAATAATGTTTTCTAAATAGAACAGATCATCCAATCAATTATCCAATAGTTTAATTATTGATATTAAAATTGATATTTGAGACAATATAGTAGATATAAATTGCTGCTAAAAGTTAATTCCTGATAATTGAATGCCAGAAAACGGAAATTAGTTTGTAATTACAAAATTGTTTGAATTTTTGAATATTAATGTGATTAGATAATGTTTTAATTAAAAATGACTTTTTTATACTAATTTTATTTTATCGTATTCTATTAAAAATCTTTTTTTAGATATTTCAGAGAACAATTTTAAATGACAAGAGAAATTTTGGAAATATATACATAAATGGCTTATGAATGTAACAAATATTGTAAGATATTTAAAATTATGTTTCATAAAATTCTTTAAAAAAGTTATAAAAGTGCAAATATTTTTTATTTATTATAAATTTTATTATTTTATTCACTTTATACATGTCCTGTAAAATATTAGATAAAATTTATTAGAAATTTTCAAAAACTATAATACATGATTTTTTGAAAATTATTCTGCACAGAGATAATAAATTGTAATAAAATAATTATGATAATATATATAATATTAAATTGAATTTATTGAATAATATTATCGTATTTTCAAAATAATTTCAACGTAGATATTTTATAAACAGTAGAAAATATGAGCAAAAAGTGGATATATGATTTTAACGATCTAAACTTTATGCATTTAATACTAGTAGAAACTTGTATGTGGGTATTTTATTGTGTAGAGGAAAATAGTACTTCATTAACCCTTACATTTAATTCACATGATAAAACGCCAACAGCTTAAAATTTTATATTCATATTATTTATGTAGAAGATAAAGAATTTTAACGAGAATTAATTTTATTTTTTAAATATTAATTAAAACACTAAAGAAAGATAATTTTTTATTTTATTTTTTATAAAGCAATAAAATTTTAATAAAAAATGATATAAAAATAATTAGAAAATATAATTATCGAATATTCTTTTGTTGTTGATCATTCTGAGTGAATCTTTTTAAAAATTTGTCTATAGAAATAATTTCAATGAAAATTAATATTTGAAATTAATATTTCATTAAAATAATACACAGTATACTAATAAAAAATTGAAATAAATTTTTTTTAAACATGTGTGTCTTGTTTCGGTTATTATATTTTGGTTATTTCCAACAACTGAATATATATTATGATTGTAAAATACACCAACATATTATAGCATCTGTTAAATTTTGATCAATATTTTATCGAAGAATAATGAAAAACAAGAGATAAATACGAAACCAAGGATGTTGGAATTTTTTTACTTTTCAGAAATATGTTTATGTATTATATTAATCTTATTTTTCACGATTAATTTATTTGTTTTCATTATTTTAATTATTTTAATATTTTTATTATGTTTAAAAGAACTCCTATGAATTGCATGTTTTCAATTGAATTTCTATCTTTTAATTTTTTTTTTTAATTAAAAATTATGAAATATTATCACTATTCAATTTAATTCATTTATTTCTTAATATTTTATCTTTTTAAAAATTTTATAAATATATATTCATACTATTTTTTAAATATTAATTACACTAAAGAAAGATAATTTTTGTTATTTTATTTTTTATAGAGCAATAAAATTTTGATAAAAAATTGTAACTTTGTCTATAATGATAATGAATAATACAAGCAAATAATATTTAAAATAAATTTTTCTTAATTATAAGTATTTAATGTAATATTGTAATTTGAGTAATAAATTTATAATTCTAAAAAAAAAGATAAAAAATTTATTATTAAAAGTACATAAATATATTTGTGTGCTAAATTTTTTATAATTTTTGTATAGAAAGAAATAATTATTTAAAGAATTTAAATTTAAAAAAACATTAATTATCTATTTTAATATTTTTCATTATTATATCCTTTCTTTATCACTTTTCATTTATTATATTATATTAATATTAATATTAAATTGATTTTAATATACATTTTATCAGAAATATTTGAATATACTAAATAAATAATAATATTTATATAAGTGATATTAATTTTTCAAAATACAAATAATTTACATAAAAATAATTTTTATATCTATCAATTCTTTTATTGATTATCATATTGCTTTAAGAAACGTTAAAATAAAATAAAACTCCTATATTTTTTTATCAAAATATTGAAACGGTAAGTCGAATAATAATTAAGAGTAAAATAAAATAAATTAATTCAAAATGCAATCTAATTAACATATCAACAAAGGATAGTATAATTGGACAAAGGAACAGTATAATTTTTGCAATTTATTTACAAAACATTTATTTTATTATAACAAAAAAAAATACAATTTCAATATTTCAAAATTAATTTCAAATTCTAAAAGAACAAACATTTATTACACATGACAGTATTTTTTTATAAAAAGATAAAAAGCGTTAATTACCAAAATATTTGTAAGAAATAAGAAAAGAAATATAATTTAAATATGCCAGATCAAAAGTTTAATACGTTGTACAAACACATCTTTTCAATAAAATACATAAATTACTTATTCGCGATAAATGTTAATATGTATTTATTGCCATCTTATCAAATCGACATATGTTGTATCACAAAAAGAAATAAAAATATATAGAAAGATTACCAATGCTTGCAGGTGTTGATTTTTAATTTTCATTCAAGTATAAAAGCAAAGAATTCGTTGTCATACTGCATCAGTTTGAAAAGAAGACCGTGAAACATGAAATATACGCTCTTATTGCTATCTATATTCATCTGTGTACATATTGTGTGCGCAGACACAGATATAGAATTAAAAAAAGACGCTGGACTAAAGGACAAAGCATCTTATGAGAAAAGCGAGTCAAAGAGTTTAAAAGAAATTAAAGAAGAAAGTGCTTCAAAATCAAAAAATGAACATTTGAAGATTCGTGAAGGTAATTCATGAGATTCAAGACAGTATTAATTGGTTTGAATTAAATCTGAAAATTATGAAATATTAATATTGTCAAACTATAAGATAGAAGATTTTATCTAAAAAATAATAAATTAACCTTTTTATATTTTTGAATATTGTAGATATTTTTAATATAGAATTCTTATGAATAAGTTAAAAAATATTTCATAAATTAAATATAGATTTAAATTTGAATTTTAACTCGACATACTCGAAACAGTGATTTTTTCTTTGAAATTTAAAGAATTTTATAGTTTTTACAACTTTTTATTATTTTTATAATCTAAAATTCTCGAAATCCAAGTCAAAAATTTGTAAAAAAATATGAAAAAAAAGCATAAAAATTTAATTTATTGTAACTCAAAAAAGATTTTTATTATTTATTGGTTAATTATGAATTTGAATTCGAAAAATTCCAAATATTAATGTTTAAAATTTTAATTCTTAACAAAAAATACATTTTAAAGAGTTTTGAAAATTTAAAAATTAGGTTTTTAATTTTAAGAATCAAAGACATTTTAAACTTGAAACATATTATAAAAATAAATTTTTTAATCGATAAATTAATTGATTAGGAAAACGTGAAGAGGCCTTAAAAGAAGAAGAAAAATCCAAAAATCTGAATCTGGTTGTGGTCAGGAAAAAGATTACCAAACTTTCTTCATGGCTTAAAGAAGAGAAAGATATCAGTCCTCTTTTGGAAGAAAAAAGTGGCAAAGATCTGCTAGGTTTAGAAGATGTCAAGGACAAGTTAAATATTGCTCTTAAATCGCTAAAGGAGGGCAAAAAGTTTGATACTTGGAAATTCGAGAAAGGTAGCGAAGACATTCGTTCTTTGGAAGAACTTAATACGAGCGTTGTTGAAGTTTTAAAATTAATAAAGGAAGGAAAAACTGATCATGGTGCTATAGATTTAAAGAAGAATGCTAAGGTACTTATAGATTTGAATAACATCTCAAAAAGCATACTTGAAACTTGTGAATCACAAAAGAATGAGGAAAATGATAAAGACGTAAAACGGAATAAAGAATTAGATTGGAAAAAAAATCCAATTGGTCTAGATTGGAAAAAAGATTTAAATAAAGATAAAATTGGTGGCTTATTTGGTGGTTTAAGTGGACTCTTAAATAGTTTAAAATCAGAAAAAGGTCTTCTAGGTCTTTTGAATAAAGATCAAATTGAATCATTAATTTCTTTAATCAGTGAGATAAAAAAGAAGGATATAAATTTTAATCTCTTGGATTTTGATGATTACAACGAAAGAAATTTAGACTTGAAATTTCTTACAAGTTCTGTTTCGAAAGCTATTGAATTATTAAAAGGAGGAATCGATATTCAAACAATTTTGAACGCGAAAAATGGAGATGAATTTGATTTGAGCGGCAATGAATTGAAAAATATCAAAGGGATATTTGGTTTGATTGGAGGTTTAAAACGCTCATTAGGATTAGAAAATATATTAAACTTATCGTTTAAACATATACCTCTGCTTAAATTATAAGATAAAAACGGCAGATCGATAAAGATCTACAAAATGGCAAAACAGAAAATAAAATGAAAAATAATTTGATAATTAAGTAAAAGTATGGTTAATAAATATATGGAATAATTTATTAGGGATATTATATAATTATAATTTATGTGGGATGTAAAAATATATTTTGTTAGAAAGAAATTTGTCTAATATTCAATTAAATTTATGAAATATTATATCATAAACTTGTGTAAAGAAATAAATTTTATATTTTTAAAAAATATTTTAATATATTGCAGAGCAATTAAATAGTTGTTATATTTATTTAAATAAATATTATAATAATGTCCATCCATCCTTATAATTTTAATTCAATGTCGTCATATTCTCAAGAAATAATCTCGACACGTAATTTGACAAGTAAAAACATCGCATTAAATATTCATAGATAGATAAAGAGACGTTAATTAAAATTGTTTTTTTAAGATTTAAACAGCATAATAAGATATCAAAATATTAACTGTGAATTCAAAATCATAAAAATTGATCTATGAAATTGATCATGGAAAATTATTTTATTAAATTTGAATAAATTTAATTATCGCTTTATTCACTTATTAAATATAATTATTACATTATTTTTTCGTTTTTGAAACGAGCATATGTGAAATTTATACTTGTAAACGATTTTTTAAATATTTTATCGATCAATTATTTTAGCAATTAATGTGAAAAAACATAGAAGTTGATCACATAAATATGAAAATAAATTATCACATAAATATGAATACTTTAACAAAACTATGGTACTAAATAAAAAGAATATATGAAATTATTAACAACAAATTATTTTATAAAATTCGATTATTTCATAAATAATGATTTTAATAAAAATTATTTTATAAAATGATTTCGAGAAAGAAAAATAATTTAATATAAAAATAAATTGAGAATATATGTAAATTTTTATTTCTTGTAACATTTACTACAGAAAATATTTGTTGAAATTTCTTACATTGAAACGTTTGAATTTTTGTTAATAAATTTGTGGGAGATATAATTTAACGTAAAAATAAATTGAAAATATAAAATAAATTTTTGTTTTTTTAATATCTACTACAAAGGACATTGAATAAATTTCTTGTACTGAAATTTTTATAATATAATATAAAATATTAAAATTTTTAATAATCAAAAATCTAGAAATTGAAAATTTTAATAATATAGTTGTTATGAAAGAATATTTATGCTTGTTGATTTTAAATGACACTTCTATCATTGTTACCTAAATTGAATTTTCAGAGAGTCATTTATAATTTATAATAAGAGATAATAGTTACTGGATTCAATGGGAATGTGTATTACGAATATTCAATTCATATGTTTGG